CAACTTACAACAGCAATGGGACTGGAATTTCTGTCACTAAGCAATGCAGCTGTAAAGCATGACCTCATCGCTTAGTGATGGCAATCCCTGAAGTTCCGGTTGCTGTCATTAACCAAATGCCACAGTCGTTAGTCAAGGCAACTTCCTGCTGGCTTTCCACACCAAGTCAGTGGGGAAGCCAGCAGAAAGTTGCAAGTCCCAGGTAGCTCGCAAGCAGGCAGGCAAGTGGCAGCTGCTAGGTGGGGGAGGGCATGAGGGGGCAAGGGAGGTGTGGCAAGGCTTGGGGAGAGGTGGGAATGCAAGGGGGTGCATGAGGGAGGCAAGGCAAGGTTGCGCAGGGGTGCAAGGGAGGCATAGGGTGGGTCAGGGAAGGGGTGTTATATGCACGTGTGGTGGGGAAGGTGCGGTGAGGTTTGGGGAGGGTGTGGGGGTGCGCAAGTGGCCGGTGAAGCATGAGTGCAGAGGGGCTGGGGAGGGTGCACAGGTGGAGGAGACCTACCCCAGTGACTTGCGACCTTCCCTGCTGCCTTCCCCATTGATTTTCTGGGGAAGCCGGCAGGGAAGGTTGCAAATAGTGATCACATGATTGTGGGATGCTGCAACCAGTTGTAAGCGTGAGCCAGTTGCCAAACACCCAGATCATGTTCACGTGATCGTGGGGGTCCTGGGATGGTGGAACTCCAAGGACCGGTCATAACCACCATTCATTCAGTGCCGTTGTAACTTCAAATGGTTGCTGAACAAGTGGTTGTAAGTCAAGGACTACCTGTAATTGTGAATGAAGAATTAACAAAACCTTGTGAGATATAGAAAAGGACTAGACAAGAATATCCCTTCACACCACTATTTATTTTAACTTTGGAACCTGCTAATAATCTTAGAAGATCCTCTGGAAAGAATAGAAATATTAATGGAAAAACTAAAGGACTTTGGGTATTAGCTGGCTTTAAAATTAACAAACAAAAGTTGAAGGTGTCAACAAAGAATATGAACATTGAAAAACAAAAGGAATTGATGGAAAAAACTGATTTTAAGACTGAGAAAAAAGTAAAATACTTGGGTATCACCCTGACTAATATGAATTGTGTGTTATACCAGAATAATTATGTTAAGACATGGAATGAACTCAAGGACATGTTAGGATGGGAGAAATTATAGTTGTCATTGTTGGGGAGAATCTGTGATAAAAATGAATGTTTAGCCAAGGATGATGTTTTTGTTTCAAACAATACCTGTTTTGACAACTGATGTACCATTTAAACAATGGCAGAAAGATATATCTAAGTTTGTTTGGCAAGGGAAAAAACCAAGGGTTAAATATAAAATACTTCAAGATGTAAAGGAATGAGGATTGGGACTGCCTGATTTGAAATTGTACTTTGCAGCCTGCTGCTTAGTCTGAATGAAAGAGTGGGTTCTGCTGAGAAATATGAGGATCTTAGAAGTAGAAGGGCACAATCTGGGGTTCAGATGGCATGGTTTTCTATGGTATGTTAAAGTTAAGGTTAATGTAGATTTTAAGAATCATTATATTCGAAGTGCCATATTGAGATTATGGAACAGATATAACCCCAGACTGTGCCTGAAAATGCCTTCATGGGTCTCACCACAAGAAGCATTTTATAGGAAAGGAACAGTAGGTAAAGAAAAATGGTTAACTTATTGAGAGTTGTTAGAACAGGAATATGGAGAATATAAGATGAAATCAAGAGAGCAATTGATTGCAGAGGGATTTAGTTTCCAATGGTGTTTGTATGCACAGTTAAGAGAAACATTTAAGGTAGATAATAGGAGATTTGGAATTGAGCAGAAACAGAATCTGAAGTTGAATTATGTATAAGTGATGAACATGTAATTGCTAAAATGTATATACTTTCATTGAAATTTGAAATGGTGGACAAAGAAGTGAAAAGTATATGATAAAACAGGCTTAAGAACTTTGGACAGAATATACTGATGGAATAGTGGGAAAATTGGTTAAAAGGATTGAAATTTATATTATGTTATAATTTAAAAGAAAATTTTTATAAAATGATGTACCATTGGTATATGACTCCAGAAAAATTTACTAGAATGCATAAAGTTACTTCAAATTTATGTTGAAAATGTGGATATAATGGTCATTTTATCATGCCTGGTGAACTTGTAAAAAAGCCAGAAAATTTTGGGTTCAAATACATATAATGATATAAAGAATGTTAAAGATCAACATTCAACTGAAACTGGAACATTTCTTGCTGGGATTAATAGACAGTCAATTAGAAAACAGCCATGGAAGATTATTCTTATATAGGACTACTGCTGCAAGACTATTATATGCACAAAAATGGGAAGATTTTGAAATACCCACAATGGAGAATGTTTGGTGAAAATCTTGTTTGATTAAAGAAAGTCAACAACTACAGTACATTTATCAGTGACTGGAAACCCCTTACGGACTTTTTGCTGAAAAAAGAGAAAAATGAACTTGTGATTTATGGGTTTGAGGATTGGAAAGGGTAGCTTATGGAAAGAAGGATATTATTATGTTACCTTAGAGAGAGAGGGTAAAATATAAATGCATTTATAAACACTGTCAAAAAGATTGGAAGCTGCTTCTTTATAATCTTTTTTCTTTTTCTATTTTAACAAATTATTCACTATTCTTCTTTGTTTCTTTTCTAATATTTGTATTGTTTTTATCTTGTTAAAAATTTCTTCAATATTAAAAAAAAGTATATTAAAGAGTTTTGGACATAGAGAATGGAAGAGAATTAAATTGTACAACAAATATATGAAGAGGAAATAGGTTGAAAGGAAAGAGAAGGCCAAAAAATAGTGGAAGTTGTTGATGAGATCCTTGAGAAGAAACAGATGAGAAGTATAAAGAATAAAAAGCACAGTGTGAAATTGTTTGTGATAGAATTGTGTTGTGGTAGAAGCAAGGATGTTTATGGAGAGATATAGTGAATGGTGAGGTTCAAATTATCCTACTTTGGACACATTATGTGAAGACCCAGTTCTCTGGAGAAGGCTCTAATGCTGGGAAAAGTGGAAGGAAAGAGAAGAAGAGGACAACCAGGAGCAAGGTGGATAGACTCAATTACAGCAGGAATGAGTGCACTGTTGAAAGAGCTGAAGGATCAGGTTAGGAACAGATCATCATGGAGAAAATGTACCTATGTGGTCGCTAAGAGTTGACAACAACTTGATGGGATGTAATCAAAAATGATGAATAGTGTAAATTAGATGTAGCTATGTTTTATCTCATGCTTATAATACCTTTTGCTGATTAATTTTTTTCTGTTTTTCCACAATGCTGTTTTTCCCAAAAGGGAATAATGCAATGACTATCTGTATATTCTAAATATGGAACATTTGTACCAAGTGGCAACAAAGTCCAAACTTACATATCTTTCAGATTTATAAACTATGTTTCCATCTATGGAAGATAAAAACAGATTAGTTCAAACTCATAATCTGTCATACTACTTGAATTCTAAGATCTGAAGATCAAAGGACAGAATTAAAAAGTCCAGTACAAAAGCTATGCTGTTTTTTCTTACTGCTACAGAACAGCTGGGACTGGTAAAATTCCATGCTTGAAAAACTTTTTTTTCCTCTGCCTTCAAGTCAGTTTTTACTCCTGGCAATTGCCTGGACTAGACCCTGCAGTTTTCTTTATATTTTTTTACTGTACCCTATTACAAGTTCAAATCTTCAAGGAAACTGACACTAAGGGCTAAACTGGGATGACTGAAAATAATTTGGAGCCAGGAAAAAGTGTGCCAAGCAAGAAATTGACCAAGGCCTTAAATCAAGCCCCAAGTATAATTTAAAAATAAACTACACAGGAATCCTGGAACACATGCAGCCCCACAAACATCATAGAAATTGAAGTGCTTTTGCACTACGCTCAAAATTAATGTCTTCTTACAACAACAACCATATGATTATCTTGATTATCTACTACCAGGCAATATACACTTCAACATTTCCAATTTGCTTGGGTGTATCTTTAAGTACTTTTTTTCCCTCTGCTTTCAAGTCAGTTTCAACTCCTGGCAACTGCCTGGACTAAACGCTGCAGTTGTCTTGGCAAGATTTTGGAAGTGGTTTGCCATTATCTCCTTCCTAGGGTTGAGAGACTGTGATTGGCCCGAGGTAGTAGGCTCTGTTCTTTACTAAGGGTCATCCATAAACTAGGCATTCTTAACTCAAGGACTACCTGTAGTTGCAAATTTCTTACAATACATAAAGAAGATAGTAAAATATGTTCAGGATGAACTATCAAGTTCTCCAGGATGACTGTGATGTCCTAAGCGTTTCCTGCAACCTGTTGGGATCCTCAGACACAGAAGGGTTTTTCAGGGCAGATGTTGGAAGAAATCCTTAAGCACTAGATAGCTTTCTTTATTACTCTTTTATTTCTTTCTTTGATCTATATCCTGCCTTTCATTCAGGAGATTATGGCAACATACAGAGGACTATCTCCTATTTTTTCCCCATCAATAATAACCCTGTGAGCAAGGATGTCTGCAAGATGTGGTCAAAAAAGTCAGAGGCCATGAGGATACAACTGAAGCTCTGCTCATTTTTTTATCTGTGCTGCACTGAAAACAGGCAGAACTTTAATTGCACCATCATGTCTATCATGACTTTTCTGACCATACAACCCTGCCTGTTAGGTAGGTCAGAAAGAAAGTCAGCCAGTGAGCTTCCATGCCTGCAATCATCTCTCACAAACATACTGATAAGCATTGTTTACAAATTAAAAGTGCATCAAAAAGAGCTTGTCAGATGGAAGTAAACTTGTGAATATGACCAAAATCATGTAGTTCTGGTTTTCTGTGTTACAGTATGGCAAACTGAAATATGAATACCAGAAATAAGTATACGTATACATGTCAGGGAGCAATAATTTGCCAAAAAAAAAACAAAACATCATGAGTGTTAAGAGACAGCCGCCCTTAACTTCAGAATTTTTTGTCATTCTCCACTTCCCCTCCTATTTGGCTTACCTAGTGAAGTTGTTGGAAAACAATGGCATTTTCCACAATGCTCCCAAATGCCAGAAGCACTGATACGGGAACGCTTTCTGGAAGTCCTCGAGGCCCAGCACTGCTTGCTTGACTTGCGGCTTTTGAGAAAATGGTGTCTATGTCTGTGATGATCTTCATGTCTATATAATGAAATCTACAAATTAATGTTATGTCTTTAGAACATCCTTCAAGTCCATATTTCATGACAAATATTTAGGACTGACTTAGCTTGCCAAATTTCAGTAATCCAAAAAAATAAAGAATATTGTTTCCTGCACAGTTTGTCTCAAGAGGAAAAAATTATGTTCAATGTAATCAACTGTAATGCTCAGCAATCAGGTTATTAAATTAACTGTTGTGAATTTAAAAATGCCAGTAAATATCCTACTTAAAACAAATGAAATTATATCTAATTAATGTGGTTCCATTTTTATTCTTCCTTTCAAATCTCCTTGATGACATAATCTGTTTTGTCTGGCTTTAATTGGTTGTGTTGAAAAGCAGGTTCTCATCCAAAACCAAATGGCTGTTCTGTCTTTGGAGATTTGTATACTATTTTAATTATGTCTAGCATGGTATTTTTTCTTGCTACAGTAAAATTTTCAGCTACCAGTACACAAGCCTCATGATTCAAGAGAAATAAAAACATTTTCTCAAATACCAGCATTACAACCCAACATTGATAAAACATAAAAACAGAAGTTGTCCTCTTTGGGGCTTCTTTCAGCATATAATCTCTGCTCTTTCTTCCCTGGCTGCTTTCCCTTTTTTTAATTAATATTTCCATTATGTTTGTTTGCAGGGAAAGAAAGAAAAAGATGTAGCGAGACCAAATACAAATAATATGTTGGAGGAAGCATTTTATTCTCCTTGGAAGGTGAGTTCAAACCTGTGCAAGAACCGCTGAACAGGTTTTGTAAGTTTTAACAGCGATAAAGTTTATGTACAGGAAATGCAATATATGAAGTAGCTGGCTATAGTCTACCAAAAGAAGATTTGAGAAAAGAGTGTTTAGGGAACAAATGCAGGAAGGAAGCTGAAATTAGCTATCTCATAAACAAAAAGCTGGCAGATCAAGAAATGTGAAGGAAAGGCAGAGGAAATTCCTAATTCTCTAGACATG